TACTTTCCGAACTTTCAATACCTTCTCATAAGTTCGGTCGCTAATAACGCATCACGTCACGAATAATTAAAAAAAAAAATTTAAATGTTGTTTTATTGTTTAATGATGATAGGTAATACCAGTAACCAAGGAGGGTGTCGTCCCGGACTCTAAAAAAAAAGTCTTTTGGGTTGCTAAAGAAAACAACACGGAGCAGATAAAATAAAGCCTTTTTAAGTATAAATAGTATTATTTTTTATTTTTATTATAATTAGTCAACTATTTTATTACTTTGAGTTTTAACCCCTTTTTTTTGTTGTACAAGTTCCCTTAGAAGACCTTATGGTCTTATCACAGAAAAGTCCATTACGACTTCTTGGGGGCATCTGCGTGCTACATTCGCTACGCCGCTGGTTAATAAAGTTAAAAATTTTTTGATAAAGTCATAATCAAACTTTTTTATAAAAAACTAGTTTATTGGCAATTCTTGCACATATCGTTCACCAAATTAAAAATACTAGTTTATTGACAATTCTTGCACATATCGTTCACCAAATTAAAAATACTAGTTTATTGACAATTCTTGCACATATCGTTCACCAAATTAAAAATACTAGTTTATTGACAATTCTTGCACATATCGTTCACCGAATTAAAAATACTAGTTTATTGACAATTCTTGCACATATCGTTCACCGAATTAAAAATACTAGTTTATTGACAATTCTTGCACATATCGTTCACCGAATTAAAAATACTAGTTTATTGACAATTCTTGCACATATCGTTCACCGAATTAAAAATACTAGTTTATTGACAATTCTTGCACATATCGTTCACCGAATTAAAAATACTAGTTTATTGACAATTCTTGCACATATCGTTCACCGAATTAAAAAAACTAGTTTATTGACAATTCTTGCACATATCGTTCACCGAATTAAAAAAACTAGTTTATTGACAATTCTTGCACATATCGTTCACCGAATTAAAAATACTAGTTTATTGACAATTCTTGCACATATCGTTCACCGAATTAAAAATACTAGTTTATTGACAATTCTTGCACATATCGTTCACCAAATTAAAAATACTAGTTTATTGACAATTCTTGCACATATCGTTCACCGAATTAAAAATACTAGTTTATTGACAATTCTTGCACATATCGTTCACCAAATTAAAAATACTAGTTTATTGACAATTCTTGCACATATCGTTCACCAAATTAAAAATACTAGTTTATTGACAATTCTTGCACATATCGTTCACCGAATTAAAAAAACTAGTTTATTGACAATTCTTGCACATATCGTTCACCAAATTAAAAATACTAGTTTATTGACAATTCTTGTACATATCGTTCACCAAATTAAAAATACTAGTTTATTGACAATTCTTGCACATATCGTTCACCGAATTAAAAATACTAGTTTATTGACAATTCTTGCACATATCGTTCACCGAATTAAAAATACTAGTTTATTGACAATTCTTGCACATATCGTTCACCAAATTAAAAATACTAGTTTATTGACAATTCTTGCACATATCGTTCACCGAATTAAAAATACTAGTTTATTGACAATTCTTGCACATATCGTTCACCAAATTAAAAATACTAGTTTATTGACAATTCTTGCACATATCGTTCACCAAATTAAAAATACTAGTTTATTGACAATTCTTGCACATATCGTTCACCGAATTAAAAATACTAGTTTATTGACAATTCTTGCACATATCGTTCACCAAATTAAAAATACTAGTTTATTGACAATTCTTGCACATATCGTTCACCAAATTAAAAATACTAGTTTATTGACAATTCTTGCACATATCGTTCACCAAATTAAAAATACTAGTTTATTGACAATTCTTGCACATATCGTTCACCAAATTAGAAGATCCTTCCATGATCCGATTGTCATAGGATTTGCAACGCATCCTTAATTATTGTTGAGCTGCAGTTTTATCTCCAAAAAAAATGTCACAAGCTTGACTTTTTTTCGAATTCAAAGAACCATCAGATGTTGATATATGGAAGTTGTTGATATATGGAAGTCGCATAACAGTGTTGATATATGAAAGTTGCTTCGGATTCTGACATAATCGGAGTTTCGATAACTCCCACTAGTTTTCGTTTCCGCTTTTTAATAGTAGGTTGGTTAAACAAACCAGCTTCTATTGCCAAACATTTTTGAGTCTTAATTGAATTAGCCTCCTGTTTTGTTTTTTCGCGCAAAACACACATTGTCGCTCAAGAAGCTTTGGTCAATAAGCTGTTTAAGCAACCCAGGGTATCTAGATTTTGTGAGATCTTTAAAACCGTTTTAAATGAAATGTTTGTTTAAGATTCCGCGCAACTTACTTTTCACCGTCCTAAATACGCCTACATCAAGTGGCTGTAGCCCGTGAGATGTATGAGCCGGTGGCTTAAAAATAATAATGTTCTCCTCTTTTGCTAAGTAATTAGTTCCAGCGTTATATGTGAGGCATGGCCATCTAGAAAAAGGGCTTTGGATCCTTCAAATTTGCGACAACGTGGGCCTTTTCAAACCATCAAGCAAAAACAAGTCCTTCCATCCAGCCAGATTGTGTGACACTATAGGTAGCACTATTAGGCCCGTCATGACTTACACTACCAGAACTAACTATTAACAATATTAAAATAAAAAGAATGTTTTCAATGAAAATACTTGGAATAATTTTTGACGAACATTTAAATTGGAAAAGCCAAATAAAGCTAGTCGAGAACAAAGTCTCAAAGACTTTAGGGATAATGTATAAGACTAAACCTCTTTTGAACAAAATATGTTTAAAAAATTTATATTTTTCGTTTATACATAGTCATATTAACTATTGTAATATTGCCTGGGCAAACAATCACTCATCTTTCGTAAAAACTATTTACACAAAACAAAAGCAAGCAAGTCGATTAGTTTCGGGCATGGATAGATACGAAAGTGCCGAGCCGTTACTCAAGGAAATAAATGCCCTAAATGTATACAAACTAAACATCTACCATAACTTGTTATATATGTTTAAACTTCAAAACGATTTAATTCCAAAATATTTTTAAAAAACTTCTCTCTTATTAATCATAAATATAAAACAAGACACTCAATAAATAATTACTACATCCCACTAACATTACTCAAAAAGTCTGACTTCTCAATTACATGTCGGGGACCACGCTTGTGGAACTCGGTTCTTGACGAAAATATGAAAAAAATAAAATCTAGTGATATATTTAAAAGAGCTATAAAAAAACACTTACTAAATTTAAACAATACGTACATTCTTTCATTTTTTTAATTAAAAAAAAATATATATATATATATATATACATTTTGCGTGTGTATGTATGTATATATATGTATGTGTGTGTATGTGTATGTGTGTATATGTATATATATGTATGTGTATATACATGTATATATATGTGTATATATGTATGTGTATATATGTATACGTGTATATGTATATGTATGTGTGTATGTATATATGTATGTGTGTGTGTATGTGTGTGTATGTATATGTGTATATGTATATATGTATATGTGTGTATGTATATGTATATATGTGTATGTGTATGTGTATATATATATATATACATGTTTGTATATGTGTGTATGTATATATGTATATGTGTGTATTTGTATGTGTGTATGTATATATGTATATGTATATGTGTGTATGTGTTTTAATTAAAAATATATATATATATATATATATATATATATATATTTTGCGTGTGTATGTATGTATATATATGTATGTGTGTGTATGTGTATGTGTGTATATGTATATATATGTATGTGTATATACATGTATATATATGTGTATATATGTATGTGTATATATGTATACGTGTATATGTATATGTATGTGTGTATGTATATATGTATGTGTGTGTGTATGTGTGTGTATGTATATGTGTATACGTATATATGTATATGTGTGTATGTATATGTATATATGTGTATGTGTATGTGTATATATATATATATATATACATGTTTGTATATGTGTGTATGTATATATGTATATGTGTGTATTTGTATGTGTGTATGTATATATGTATATGTATATGTGTGTATGTGTATGTGTACATGTATGTGTGTATGTGTATATATATATATATACATATATCCTTCTTATATATATTCTTCTTGTTTCTTTTTGTTTGTCTGTTTTAATTTTGTTTAAAAAAAAAAAAAGTATGAGTAGATGAACTTAAATCTATAAAATGTTCGAAATCTTTTTTAATTCAAAATATCTTTTGTATATTTAAATATATATTATGAAGTTTATTGGATATGTATACGCATATGTACGGATTTGTAAATTATTTTTTCAAATTTTTTAATTTTTTTTTATTTTCACGAAGGGGCTTGATGATAAGACATTTTGTCTTCTACTTGCCCAAGTCAGCTTGCATTTGTACAAATTTATTTGAATGTAAGGTTAACATTGTAAAATGTGTCAAATGACGAAAAATAAAAATTAAAAAAAAAAAAAAAATAACTTAGAACCTATTTAGACATCAATCTAAAATTTTAAATAATTAAATAGTAGTTTTTAAAATGCAGAGTTTTCCGGATTATTGGCACATCTGTTTCAAATCCTTCTTAAAATACATACCCAAATTCATCATAAATACCTTTGGCCTTGGAATAAAACATGAACAGGCAAGAATGTTCCAAAAACATCACAACAAAAGAGTATTGTAACTGAAGCCTTTTCGTTGCAACTGCAAAGTTTATTAGGCCCTTTTGAACCTTACCGACACACAACTTTAAATTTGCCTTGATCACATTGAAGACCAGACTCATCGCAATTAAAAATGTTGAACGGCTTAGTTGCGAATCCACGTATATTGTACATATCCTTTGCAAACCTTGATTTAAGAAATAAAAAAATTATAAAGTAGGTTATTAAAATGCTATAAATTGAGCAGTTTATAAAAAAAGAACACTTTGTAAACATTACAATCAAATTGAAATTTACCTTTTAAAAGTTGCACATTTATTTTATTAATAAATAACAATTAATTATGAAATATATTACATATAAACATATAATTTTAATAAATACCATCGATCAATAGTGCCTGGTTGAGTCGACATTGCACGATTTGACGGCATATTATTTTTTTTTTTCTTCATGATTTTTTACAACTTTATAAACTATTGTTACAATTCCTTCTCTTGACTTAATATATAGTCATAGAGAAAACAAAAATAAATGTATACATATATAAATCGTTAAAAATATGTCAAACACACTGTGTTAAATACAAAATATATGTTTTATATGTATTTTATGATAATAAATTTGATATAATAATTTGGTGAAATAATTGTGATGTTGTAAGGAAACTCGCAGAAGACTTAAAGAAGTCTTGTCATCGAAAACCTTTGAGATATAAAATAAGTGAAAAATTAAAAAGCAAACTTGTTAAGTGACATTACTAGAGTAATACACATAAAAATATTGAGATATTAAAAATTAGTAGGTGTTGTATAAGAATTTTGGATTTTATTTTATTATTTTTTCTTTTTCTTTTTCACTTCCTTGTCAAATATGTTTAAAACATATCGATCAAATTTGTTGACTTAATTATGAGATGTTTAAGGTTTTTTTTCAAAGTATAAAGATTACCATAATTATCAAATTCTATATTTTGGGGTATGACTTTGTTATATAGGTAAGGGCCACGGTATACAATTACATATTGCGAAATTTTTGTTTTTTTTATAGGCATTTCGTGAAATATCCCGTTCCTCTTGTAGTATACTTATTAGCGTTAATTTGAAAAAAGTTATTAGAAAAATAATTTGGAACTAGTCCAAGTTTGTATTTCAACATAAATAAAATATTTTGGTATATATTAATTTGATAGATTTTAGTGCGTTAAAAGATTTAAGTAAAGGATCGGCATGAGTAAATTTATTTTTATTATAAACCAGTCTTGATGCATATTTTTGATGCACGTATAGAGAATTTAATTTAGATTTATGTGTGCTCCCCCATGCAAAGTTAGCGTAATTTAAATAACTTTGAATAAGAAAAGTAAAGAATTTTAAGATTAGATTGTGAGAGCATTGGTTTAGCTTTATAAAGAACACCTATACTTTTTGATATTTTGTTATTTATTGTACTTATATCGGCCAGGAAATCTTCTCATCAATAATTATTCCAAGAAATTTAGTTTTTTCAGTTCTTTTAATGGATATAAGTTCTGAGCGATAGCTCTTCACAATGACGTCTAATAAATGAGTAATATTCACTAAGTCACATTTTTAACATACTAACATTTTACAACATTCGTGCTAATTGTTTCCTTCGTTGTTTTTCCGTAAATGATGAAGTTAGAGTATTTCAAAATTTCACTATTTTTATTAAAAAAAGTAGTTAATTTTTTAAAAATTAATAATTTTTTTTTGTAAATATAATTAATTTGGTGATTCTTAATAATGCTAAGATTAAATATGATCATTTATTTTAATAGTTTGCTTATTTTAGATTTTAATAGTAAGCATTTTTTCAAATTGTTGTTTTGCTAAAGAATTATTTCAGCAGGTTGCATATAAATATTATTATTATTTTTATAGTTTCATATTTACGAACTAATTACAAATATTATTTTAGAAAAAAAAAGTTTGTAAAATTTGAGTTTTGCATGCTTTTTTTATATTTTTTCTTAAATGACCGAAGTTACATGGTGACCGAATTTAGGGCGGTTTCACGGTGTATATATATATATATATATATATATATATATATATATATATATATATATATATATATATATATATATATATATATATATATATATATATATAATTTTACATGTGTTTGTGGTAAATTGTTTAAATAAATTTTTACCCAAGTAGAGTATTGTAGGCAATTTCGCAACAAAATGACGAAATAGCCACACAATTTCATAATAGACGTGTTAAGGAAAAAGTATTTGTATAATAGATTTTTCTGATAAGAAGTTTGTTCAACAGCTAGAAATTTGCGCTCATGAGAGAAAATTATTTGTCTTTGAAGAAATGTGTTAATGTTTGAATACAAAGCTGAACATGCTTATGAGGAAGTCTCTAGGAAGAAACCACAAAAAAGAATATTGCAGTTATTCTTTTTTACTATTCTAAAATTTATAACAGTAAAATGCGCTACCAATTATGTTTGCTCACCAACGATTTTTTATTCATGTTTTAGGTTGACGAAGTAACTGGGTAAACGCACGAAGATGAAGCATGAACAAACAACGCATTTTTAACTGCGTTTTTATACCGGTTCTTATTCCTTTAGTTTCTTTAGTGACATTTTTTCTGTAAATGTAAAAATTAATAGTTACTAAAGAAACTTATCTAAAAATCAAAAAAAATTTTCTCAACAATTTTTTTTGATTTTTAGATTACATTTTTTAAGAACCAAACTGTTATCACTCTGGTTCTTAAAAAATATACAGTAGGCTTTCACTAAAGTCCGCATTTTGATCCAACTGCGGCAATTAACAGAAGATACTTTAGACAAATTTCAGTTTTATGATATTCTTATTAAGACTTGCTGTCTTGTGGGTTTATTTGTGATTCTGTCCGCTCATAACAAACGTTACTTTAGCATAAACAAAGGAGAACAATCGACAGATGTCAATTTATGACTATTTCTAACTACACAATACAGCCATGTATGTAATAAAGTTCAGTATGGTTTTTAATAATTTCTTAAAAATTAACTAATAAAGTTCAGCATTATCTATGCATTTGGCTGAAAAAAAAAAACGCACACTCAAGCAAGAGCCTACTGTGGCTCAAACTTGAATGATGTGCGAATCTTTCAATAACGAGCAGATAGAATTTTTTAAAGTATCACCTTTAAAGGGTTTATATAATAGAAAAGACTTTAAATTTGAGAATTTAAATGTTGTACATCTTAAAACCTCTATATGACTACAGTGCTCAAAAATATGTTTAACTATTTTCTACTTTCAAATTCATTTACAGATTTTATAATTTTACTAATTATATTTTTGTAAAGTTTTTATTCTACCCGGGTTCTAATGAACTTAAACATAGTATTATAAGATGGTAAAAAAAATATCTTATTAATCGTTATGCTCACATTTGGGATAAGTTAGGCAAACATTTTAGGGTATTTTTTCCCGCAATTCTTTGCAAAACAATTTCATGACACAAGTATGAACATAGTTAAGTTTGGATTTTGGTTTTTGGTAGCAGCATTTATGAAAAGCTTGTATTAAAAGAAAATATAATAAAGGTGTTTTTTTTAAATGTAAATCCTAAAAAAAGAATCTCTCAAGGACAGAACTGCAAAGATTTGATATTTTGCATAGTAAATTTACCATGTAAATATCGATAGCAGCCATAAGATATAACCAGGGCCGGCGCGAGTATTCCACATTTGCCGACTAAGGGTCCAATTTGCCGACTAAGGGCCCAGTTTGCCGACTAAAATCATTGATGGGGGAGTTTCACACCCCCCTGACGCGCCGGCCTTGGATATAACCCATATATTTACAAACTGCGTTGCATATTTTGAAAGTTAAGTTGTTTTGCGAGCAAATTATTTCAGTAAATTATAATAATGCAAACTATTTTTATTTTTTAGATTCATATACTTGAAATCATATAAAATGTATTAAAAGAAAGTTCGTAAAATTCAATTTAAGAATTCTTTCGCAAAGTTACATTTATTTACTCCTAGATGACCCAAGTAAAATTTATTTTAGATGTTATTCCTAGTTGAATGAACTCCATAGAAAAATTTTTTATTAGTTACAGCAGAGAATTTACGACAAATATATTATAATGGAGATAAAAAAAACTAGTTTATTTTACACACAAATATAAATTACAGTATTAAAAATTCTTCACTAGAAAAAGTTTAAGGATTCCATATATAAAAAAAGCGCATATTTAAATAATGACGTATATGTTTACTGAAAGGCACTCACGTATTGATGAATGGTAGGCTCACGCACTCACGTATTGATGAATGGTAGGCTCACGCACTCACGTGATGAATGGTAAATGTTTTAAAAGCTATTGATAAAGATGTGGAAAGTTTCATGCTAAAATAATAAACTAAATGTTTTTATTTACATTTATCCCTAATATTACCGCAAATACTCATAATCGAGGTACAACATAACTCAACTAGATGCAAGCTCCCAGTATATACTTGTTTAAATTTTACATCTTTTGAATAATAGGAACAATTTGATCAAAACGCGGCCGTTTTGTTGGATCAGCGTTCCAGCATAACGAGATGAGTTTACTTAACTGATTTGGCATTCCTGGCGTCATGGGAGGTCGACATCCCTCTGTCGCAATCTATAAATAAGCAAGAATAAATTGTTTGAAAATTTTGTTAACTCAAAAAAAAGAAAAGAAAAAATTGAAAAAAAAAAAAAAAGAAAACCTTCATCCCACATTCCATTGGTGACAATGAGGAGTAGGGAACTTCTCTCGTTGATAGTTCCCACATAATAATTGCAAAACTCCACATGTCGGCAGATCGCTGATCGACAGACTCAGGACTATTACGCAACACTGAAAATCACAACTTTCATACAGATTTTAAAATAAGAAATCAAAAACTTTTGATTAAAGAATAATTCCTTACTTTCTGGAGATAACCAATTGGGCCTAAATACTTTAGTGTGATCTTGAAAAGAATATCTGACATCTTGCATGCTGATTCTAGCTGTTAAATCTTCGTCAATCTAAACAATAGCCTCAAAATCAACTTTAATTTTAGAAGAAAATAAATTTTACCATTAAAATTTTTTTTTATGCTTTATCCTTCATACTCAAATAACATAAACAATATAAGTTAATTATAACAAAAGAAAAACAAAATAGGTCATTTACACTAAAGTAGCATTAAATAAAATAGTCATGAATTTTAATATGAAATAAAAAAAAATAAATAATTTTAAATGAAAATTAATATAAAAAAATAATTACTAATATATGAAAACTTGTAAGAGTAAATCTTTGTATAAGTGGCTCTAAACTATGAAAATAGGACATTCCTTTAGCAATATCAAGTGCAAACTTAATAGCTTGTGTTTGATCAACCACAATTCCAGTGCCTTCATGTAATATGTTATACAGAGAACCATAAGGCATATATTGACTTATAACCATAAGGTTGGGTTGCTTTGCTACAGCATTAATAACTGGTAGAATGTTCGGGTGTGAGAATATTCTAGACGAAGTATTCAATGAAAACAAATGTTTAATGCAAACACAAAATATTCTTCAAAGAATCATTTAAGCATCATATGTAATTATATGTATTTATTACATATTAGAAAATACATAAAATAAACATCCTTTTACTTATAGATGTAAAGTGTTTTATGGTTAGTGAGCTATACAATAATATTATGAAACACTTAACATAACTCATAAACCAAGATATAGTTCCAAATCTGTATTAAATATAATCTGTTTAAATACCTTAATTTAGGATATTCATCATTGAATACTAAAGCTAATCTTTTATGAAAACCATAAAGCTTTAACTTCTTTGCAACAACAGGAACATTGTTCCATACACCTTTAAATAACTGAAAAGAAGAAATCAAATATGATTGATATATCCCTTTCTTACTATTTTTTACATACATATAATATAATTACAAACACAAATATCTACTATTACAAATTTAGGTCAACACAGTACAAATATACTCAGCTCACCTTAATTTTTTAAATATAACCTTAAATTTAGACACTTTGAGACAAAGAAAAAATAATAATAAAAAAAACATTTTTTTTTATTTAGGTTGTAATGAATGTTTTTTATACATAGATATTGTCGCCCCAAACCCTCTGTCAATGCATGCACTGAAGTAACAACAAAAGGGTATTTTAGAAGAGCATCAGTGATGTTTCATGAGCATTTAAATCCGAAGTTATTCTCATAAAATTATTTGCAGAACAAATTTATATATTATAATTTTACAATTGCAGGTTTTCAATTAAAAACATTTTTTTAATTAAAAAATAAAAACAACACCTCTCCAGTGTTACTTTCACTAATTCGCTCCATAAGATGAATGTCTGCAATATCAATACTAGCATTACCTCCCTTCAAAGTTGAAAAATCGTAAACTAAATGTAGAATTAAAGTAGCATTTACACAAAAATTTATAAAAAGAAATCAAATGATAAAAATATTATTCTATAAATAATTAACATACCTGCATTATTCATTCCTTTGTTTTCTAAAAAAATATTTTTGCATGAAGTAAAAATAAAAAATAAACCGAGTTTTATTTATTATAATGATTAAACACAACATTTTTTATAATTTTAAAGTCATAAAATAATTAAACAAAGTAATTCAAAATAAAATAAATACTTTTATATTTCTTTTATTTTCAATTACTTTGCTTATCAGCTAAACTTTAAGACTTCAAAATTATAATAGATATTGCATGTACCCTGCGGGCACAAGAGTTACTTTATACATATACTATACGTATTTATAATTTTTGTATATGTCACAATCAACACGCCTTGTGCTTTTAAAAAACGTCTTTTTTAGCTTTAAAAAAAGTCTTTTTAATATTATTAATAGGTAAATACTGTTTTTATCCAATGTTAAAACAACATTCGCTGCTTGTTTCTCCAAATCATTTTTTTCTGTTAATAAAAATCTAGCTAAACTAAAAATTATTTTTTTACCTTTGAAATCTAAACGTGTTAGGTCTTGTCCAAGATTTTTTGCTTTTTCTAAATAATTTTTATTAATATATTTAATATTTTTAGGTATAAGAATTTCATTCATAAAATTAAATATTTATGTTAACCTATTTGTAAAGAGTAAAAGCGGGTATAATGAAACATGTAAAATTAAACAACTTTTTTATTTTTATTTTTTATGAATTAACTTTTAAAGAAAAAAAAAACTATTTGGTTTTTAATTAAAAAATTTTAACATGAGTTAAAAAAGAGTTACTGTGAGTAAATTATTTTTATCATTATGAAAAGCATCATTTATGTATGGCATTCCTAAGACAACTTTATTGTTCAGGATAAGGAACCCTGCACGCTCTATTGGTACTGGCACAGTCACCATTATTTTAAGTATTATTTTAATCAATTATTATTAGAAATTAAAGAGCTAACATTAGGTGTTTTGTTTATTAAACTTGCTGATTGGAGGTTTGGTAACAACCCGCAAACAATAACTTGATCTTGTTGGTAGTTATTTTCAAAACAACCTAATTTATTCACAAACGGTAAACCAGGCTTGTTACTATGGTTTCATCAAACAATTAATCAAATGGCTGACTAAAATATTTATTCAAGCTTATTACTATTCTATAAAAATTTCTGGTACTCATGTGTTAGTACTTGATGTCCACATTACACACGTTATATACCAGGTTGCTTCTCTTTGTATTAAAAGCAATGTAAAGCCTTTAGATGTTGGTGTGTATTGTCATGTTAAAAAGGTTTAGCACTAAATATTAGAAAAATGTTATACCAACTTACTATATAGCAATTTATTTAAAAATGCTTTTATTTAGGTAATTTTTTCATTTATCTCCAAATTATTGTAGGATTTTAAAACACTGGCCTATTTTTGCTAGGCATAAACAAAGTTGAAAAATCTAAATAGTAAATTGCAAAAGTATTTCAACAAACATAAATCTGCTTAATCTGTTCACAGTTGTTCACACTTCTGTTGTATACGTTCACAAGATTCAATAGCTCAAACTCAACTACATCAATCTACTGAATCAATAATACTAACTTATCCACACTCACCAGTTTCAATCAATCAGTCTTAATCAGCTGATTTGAGCTTCTATTCAAGAAAATAGCATCGCTCTAGAAAGTGCTTTAAGAGTCAATCATATCAACACTATAAAGCGGGAAAAAATGCCAGAGTTAGCAAACCTGAAGGAGAATGTCTTGATTCACCTGAGAGGTTAAACATACTCAAACTGGCTGTCCAAAAAAGTGTCCAAAACTTTAGAAAAAAATGCAAGAAATGAAAATAACCAACAGTTTACTTGTTAAAATTTAAAATGTCAAAGCTGGACGATTTTCCAAGCCAAATCAATACAGGTTTCCATGCTAGCCAAATCAATACATGTTTCTATGCTAGCCAAATAAATACATGTTTCCATGTTAGCCAAATAAATACACTTTTCCGTGCTAGCCAAATAAATACACGTTTCCGTGCTAGCCAAATAAATACACGTTTCCATGCTAGCCAAATAAATACACGTTTCCGTGCTAGCCAAATAAATACAAGTTTCCGTGCTAGCCAAATAAATACACGATTATTGATGAATTCTTTTATACCAAAAAATGTAGAGATTAATATTTTTTACTTCACGACCTCATCTTTGTAATTAATTGTATAATCTAATCTTATTTAATTGCTTTTTTTCTATTGATTATATAATCAAATATAATAATAAAAAAAAATTGAAATTCTTTTTTATAATTTTTCTTAAAAAAATTTAACTTAGTCATTGTATAATTGAAAATTTTCTTTTTAACTTAAAACGTTTGCAACTTAAAAACTAAATAAAATAGTAAAAATAAAATTTATTTATTTTTGTAAATATAAAATTTATATATTTTTGTAAATATATAAACTTTTTTCTTAAAAAAAAAAATTAATTTATTTGAAAACTGTTCAACAAAGCCCGCTTCTACTCTAATTGTTTATTAACACACAACTAAAAAATTAACAATAAAAAACTTGTTAAAAAATACTTGAGTAACCTAACTAAAGTAAGTTCATAGTTATTGTTATTGAACCTTTTTATTTAGAATACTTTTTTAGATTCTCTTAAATTTTCTAGAGAAACTCCATCTTAAAAAATCAAGTTATATAAATCTTCAAAATTTATATATAAATATATAAACATTTATTGATTTTGTATTTATTATATATATATGTATATATATACATATATAATAAATATAAACTACTATCGTCATGGTAGTAAAATTAATGTTGTCATATTCAGATAAACCTACCAACACTATAGGGAGATTCCATGTGAAAACATCCGGGGCATGCAACCCTAAGTCTCAGATTTTGCTGATTTTTAAACCACTTAAAGATTTTAGTAAATTATGTACATCCTGAAAATTTTATCGTCTAATTTCAATCGGTTCCTAAGATATAGCTATTTTAAGTTTGGCTCCAACCAACAAAAATCCGCCATTTTTAAAAATGGTTTTGGTCCTAGTTTCTGTTATATGTGTGTTGGAAAGCTGAAAATTTGTACCTTTACATATTTTGGGCCAACGAATCCAATGAAACAACTTAAAATATTTAAAAACAAGCATAACACCTAAAATTTGAACGTTTACCACAATTTTACTGGGGCGAGTCCGCTCACAAAAATGCCGATGTAGCTCGATTTTTTTTTTTTTTTTTTTTTTTTTTAGAAGTTGTTCTGAATAGTTAAGCTATAGTTACTACAAAGAATTGGAGAGTGGTCTTTTCTAAAACAGAAATAAAAAAAAGGTCAAATCTACTTAAATTTATTGCTAAAAAAACAGGTATTTTGATAAATTAAACTATACAAAAAGATGTGATAATTTGACAGTTCTGTAGCTGAAACAGTTTTGGCTATATCGAAATGTTCTTTTAGATGTTGTTGAATTGCTCTTTTTATTTTTTTAGTAGTTTTATGGTTTAGAAATGTTTATAAGATTGTAAAATTAAAGTTAGAATGCTTACTAATTAAGTTTAAATTTCTAATCCTAAACAACCTTGATCCCATGAACACATTGAATGAATCATAGATTTTTCTTGCATCTTTTTTAGAAATAATAATAGTATATTGATAAAATGGAATCTTGTGGGTTTGGAAAAGTTTTCAAAGATGAATGTCACAAAATTTGTTTTGTTCGAAAACAAGGATTAAAAGATTTTTGTAATTTAGAAAAGGACTTTCCAGATACTTATATTTGGAGGTCTGGTTTGCTTGAGACTACATTATACGAAGAGAAAAAGTCTATTTGTTATCATCATGAGCAGGTTTTTGGACCGATATTTCTACTAAAGAATGATAAGTGTTGCGATGTTTTAAAAAGACACAAAAAGAAGGTTAAAGGTAATATATATATTTTTTGATAATTCACCTCCTCAAGGCCGAGAAGGCCACTACAGACGAGGAGGCTACTTATTTATGGTTATAACCCTCTCCTGACTCTATAACTCCGAAACACGAACTTTGACAAATAAGGCCGCTGTACGGAGAAACAAGTTGAGTGCGGTACTACCAGGGACGTGGTGGGGATCAAACTCGGAACCTCTCGCTTATGAACCGAGCGGTCTACCACTACACAACTACCGCATATATATAATTATTTATTATATATTAACTTATACATATATATATATTATATAAATTAATATAATAAAATATAATATAATATAATATATATATATATATATATATATATATATATATATATATATATATATATATAAATTTAGAAGCAGGGTATGTTTATTTAAAATTAATGATTTTATTTTAGGTCAAACAACCATATCTCTTGAAATGGCTCATAACCTTAAATCCAAAAATCTAGACTGTAAACCAGGATGGAAATTTTGTCGCTCATGTATTCAGTTTTTGTCAAGTCGCGATGAAGTTTCTGATAATGAAATGGATAGTGAAATTGATGGCGATGTATTATTTGTTAAAGATAAATCTTGTAATAAACAACAGTTAGACAACTCTTTAATATCAATTGAAGTCTCACCAATTAAAGTTCATGGTGTCGCAAAGCATCAACGAGTTGTAACAGCAAAAAGAAAATTAGTCAAAGCCTACACAAAAATGGAAGAAGGTGTAGCAAGTGCTTATGGAGTAAATATAGATAATTTAAGTGTAGCCTCGACTTTTTCCAGTCAATCTATGGATAAAAAAAAAGCAAATGATCTTGATCATTTGACAACTTTAATGAAAGAAAAACTTTAAGTTGAACCATTTAAAAAAAAAATTCAAATATTAACACTTACACCTGAATCTTGGTCTAGAAAATATGCTTCAGAATATTTTGAAGTTTCTGAAGATCTTATACGACGTGCTAGGAAACTTAAAAGTGAAAATGGAATTCTTGCTATACCGGATAAGAAAATAGGCCAAAAAATACCTGACTTTCTAACAGCTTTGGTTCAAGATTTTTTTCAACAAGATGAACATTCTAGAATTGTGCCTGGTAAAAAAGATTGTGTTAAAGTTAAAAGTGGTCCTCCACAGCAAAAAAGATTATTATTGTGCAACCTTCATGAGCTTTATATTGATTTTAAAAGTAAATATCCTAATTATAAAGTAGGATTTTCAAAGTTTTGTAGTTTGCGTCCAAAATGGTGTATTAGTGTGGGACCAAATGGTACACACTGTGTATGTGTTTGTATTTACCATCAAAACTCAATATTGCTTGTAAATGCTGTCCAATGGAATGTTACATACAAAGATTTAATGTCAAAATTAGTATGTGATACAAGCAATAATGAACGCATGGTTCATAGATGTGCCAAATGTCCAGGTTATGATAACTTAAAGACATTTTTAGATGAGGAATTAATTGAGATTGATGAAGAAGAAGAAATTCAATTTAACCAATGGCAAAGTACTGATAGATCACAATTAATTACTCAATCAGTTAACTTATTTGAATATAAAGAACTAGTTGTTTCTCACATTAATCATCTAACTTCACATTCATATATTGCTAAATGCCAAACTCGCTATTTGAAAGAACTAAAAAATAATTTAGGTTACAATGAATGTATTATACAGGCAGATTTTGCAGAGAACTATCAATTTGTTATACAGGATGAAATACAAAGTTATCATTGGAATAAACAACAATGTACACTTCATCCTGTTGTTATATATTTTAAGGAATTTTCTAAAACGAATATTCAGCATAAGTCATTCTGTTTTTTAAGTGATGACAATGATCATGATACATGCTTTGTGTATGAATTTCAAAAGAAAATTGTAGAGTACATTAAGGAATATTTAGTTGGTATCAATAAAATTTATTATTTTTCTGATGGATGTTCTGCTCATTATAAAAACTATAAAAACTTTATAAATCTATGCCACCATAAGGAAGATTTTGAGATTACAGCTGAATGGGTATTTTTTGCAACCAGCCATGGAAAATCCACTTGTGATGGCATAGGTGGTATCGTTAAAAGAATAACAGCAAGAGCAAGTTTGCAAAGGGCATTGGAAAACCAAATATTAACAGTTGATGATATGCTTGAATTTTGCATCACCAATATAAACACAATCATATTTTATAAAATTTCCAAAGAACCAGTTAATGCAAGGAGACAGCAACTAAAGGAGCAATTTGAAACAGGAAAAACTGTTCCAGGTACCAGAAGTTATCATCATTACATACCTATTTCAAAATTTGAAATTAGTTTTAAAAGAACAAGCGAACACCAATGTGTTGACAGATTTATACTGTCAAAAGCAGTAATATCTGATGTTGTTATTGTACCAAATCTAAATAATTTTGTTGCATGCAAGTACGATTCCTTTTGGTGGATAGGCATGGTTACAGAGATAGATATTATTCTAAATGATATTCAAATTAAGTTTATGCACCCTCACGGCCCTTCTCAAAACTTTATTTGGCCACAGAGAGATGATATCTGTTGGGTACCATTGTCGAGTTTGATTGCAGTAATCAAAGTCCCAACAACAAAATCAGGGCGAACATATAACATTGATGTGAATGATTATAACACAATAACTGATAAATTTTAATTTTTTTGAGTGTTTAATTTTTAAATTTTGTATAGTACTTTTGTTTCTTGAACTTCTTTCCGAGTGCTCTATTTGTTTTGGAGTCTTTGTTTTTTAAGTTTATTAAATGAAGTTTGATAAATATGAAACTAATGTTTTATAAGTAATAAATTTAAGTATATTTAAAGATGTTTTTATTTCTGATTTAAGACCGCAATCTGATTCTTTGTAATAACTCCAACTAAACTATTTAATACAACTTCTGAAAAAAAAACTAAATTTGCAATATACATCTGCATTTATATAATTCTCCCCCTTGAAACTAAACGTTTTAAAGATCAGATTCTAAAAATATTACAAAGAAAACAGAAACAGCTAGTCAACAACAACTAAAAGAACAGTTTGATGAGGCCTAAACTGTTTCAGTTGCAAAACTGTCAAATTACCACATTTTTTTTCTTGTTTAATTTGTCATAATACCTGTTTTTTAAACAATAAATTTAAGTAGATTTGACCATATTTTTATTTCTGTTTTAGAAAAGACCACTCTCCAATTCTTAGTATAAAACTATAGCTTAACTATTCAGAACAACTTCTAAAAAAAAAAAAAAAAAAAAATCGAGCTACATCGACATTTTTGTGATCGGACTCGCCCCAGTAAAATTGTGGTAAACATTCAAATTTTAGGTGTTATGGTTGTTTTTAAATATTTTAAGTTGTTTCATTGAATTCGTTGGCCCAAAATATGTAAAGGTACAAATTTTCAGCTTTCCAACACACATATAACAGAAACAAGGACCAAAACCATTTTTAAAAATGGCGGATTTTTGTTGGTTGGAGCCAAACTTAAAATAGCTATATCTTAGGAACCGATTGAAATTAGACGATAAAATTTTCAGGATGTTCATAATTTACTAAAATCTTTAAGTGGTTTAAAAATCAGCAAAATCTGAGACTTATGGTTGCATTTTCAAAAAAAATTGAATGTTTTCACATGGAATCTCCCTATATGGGGCCATCCATGAAGGACGTAATCCAAATAGAGAAAGAGGGGGGGGGGAAGGGAGGAAGGGGGTCGAGTTAAAAAGGACAAAAAAGGACAAGGAGGGGGGGGGGGGAGGTTGTCAGAAAAGGACGTCACTTTATAGATTTTTTATTTTAGTTTAATTAACATTGAAAACTACGTAAACATGTGTTTTTGAGAAGATAATGTATGAGAATATTTTTAATTTTATTTTTAAAAGGTGTAGCAGCAGATTCAAACATCATTACAAAATGAAATAAATTTTTTTAAAGTTAAAAATAGGGAGGGGGTCAGGATTTTGTGACGTCCTTTTCCAGGGGGGTATAGGGAAAAAGGACAACTGGTGACAAAGGTGGGGAGGGGGATGGGAGGGTGGAGGTGGTCAAAAATTGGCTAAAAAATGGTGACGTCCTTTATGGATAACCCCTATACTAAATTAAAGTTACAAAAAAAATTTTGTTTTTAAACTCAATAACTTTAAGCAATCTTTAAGCAATCTTTAGGCAATTTATAAAATTATCAAATTCGTTTTATGTGATTTCATATAATTATTTCGTTTTAGGTGATTTCATATTATGTGATTTCGTATTATGTGATTTAGTATTATATGATTTCGTTTTATATGATTCTCTAATAAGAGTATTAAATTAGTTTGTATGCCAAAATTAGATATAATGCTTTGAGCAACTTCTAAAACAAAAACTTTTATTTCAACAAATCCTAGAAAAAACTTAATAGGCAATTTTAGAAGTGTTAAATTACTCAAGTATTAATTTCTAGATAACCCTAAACAGCCATCCACCTCTAAGAAGGTTTTTTAAGAAAGGAGTAGCTTTGTCTAGCGGAGTTTCTTCATAACGGTTACATTGCATTACATAAGCTCCACAGTTGACAAGCTCCTTAAAAAGAAATTAACAGTAAAAGCAAAAAGAGCAGATTAAATATAAAATTAAAAAAAAAATTCTAATTAAAAAATTTAAAACATTAAAAAATTATAAAAAAATAAAAAATATTTACAACAGCAATCGTCTCTAGATTCCAAAAACAAGCATAATGCAATGGTGTATTTCCATGTTCATTCATAAGGTTTAAATTAGCTTTATATTGAATGAGCTAATAAAAAATTTCAAAAATATTGATTATACAAAAAGAATCTTATTTCAAAAAAGTCAAAAAGTTTTTAACAGCTATTTTTTAGGTATAATAAATAATTGCTGGTGCAATTAACTACACTTTACATAATGATATAAAGATTAACCCTTTAAATTATTATAGATCTAAAGTTTTTCCAAAAAACTAAAATAAAAACCATCCAAGTTTTTAAATTTAAGCAAAAAGTAGACTTGCTTCTGACAGTTTATAGAATTCTGACAGTTTATAGAAACTGACAGTTTATAGAATTACCTTTATACGGCTACACAACTCTATACAGTTATATAAAAGTTTATACATTTTATATAAAAGTTATACATTTTACATTGAACTAAAATAAACTGAACACATCAAGTTGAAAGTACATACATATTACATAAATATATACTACATGAATATATTTTAAATTAATATATACTAAATAATGCATTTATAATAAATATATATAATACTAAATATACAACAATTTAGATATTGGTCCTATCTAACAAACTAAATTTAAAAAAATGTGAATGTAAAAAAAACAACTCAACAAAACCTAAAAAAAATGGATACCACTTTACTTAAAAAATATATAAGAGAGTAAGAATTGTTTTCAATGCAACCAACAATTTTAAAGAAAAAAAAATTCAAATTTTCAAAATTCAAATCTTCAAAAATGTATGAAACGTGTGTTTATTTTAATACAGAATTCCACATACACAAAACAATATAATAAAGAACTAACTTAATACAGAATTCTACAAACACAAAACAATCCAACACTAACATAATACATAATTACAAAATAATCCAATACTAAGCAATAAATAAAAAGTGAAAAATTCCTTAACAAACCAAGATGCAGGGTCATTCCATATCAAATTAACTAATGATTTACAGGGTACCAACTCAGATTTGTTTTAAATTTTGATCATCCACAGATTTTATGAAAAAAAAACACAATCCTGAAAATTTGATTTGCTAAACCACTCAAAAGTTATGGTCAAATTAATATTGGCCAAAATTGGAAAAATTTGGTTATCTGGGGCGTACAGTAGATTTATTATTGTTAGATTTATTATTATATAATTTATTATTTATTATCTTACAAAAGATTTATTTATTTGATTTTTGACAGATCATAACTTTTTAAATAAAATAGGTGACCACCTGAAATGTACAGTAATAGTTTTTCACCCTAATAATCTATTTTTGCAGGTCTTTTTGAATGATTTTTAATAGTTTTTGAGTTATTGTACACATTAGTTGTTAAAAATTGCAATATTATAAAATTTTTTTGGAAACTATAATTTATGTGCTACAGTTCAATATCTATAGATATTGAACTGAAGCACATTAATTAATGTGATAAAGTAGCGTAAACAGTTAAAATAAATTATGAAACTTATACTCTAGAGGTTCTATAAACTGACAACCACTAACTAAACCGACAACCACTAACTAAACCGAAAACCACCAACAAAAATTTGTCTTAAGCCATGATTGTAGCCCTATGACTTAGAAGTATATTTTTAATTTTGTCCTGAATGAATATATCCAGTTTTAATTTTTTTTCTCAGTTTTCACTTAAATGATATAATCATTTAAGTGATTTAAACATATGCATTTGTAATATAGATAGTCAAAGCTGCAATTTTCATCAATCTTCTAACTGCCCTGGTAAACTAAATTTGAAAACTTGGAAAATGTGTTTGAAAAGAATAATTTTGATTTTGATAATCAGATCACATACAAACAATGGGTATTAACTGATCAAATTACACTTGTCACAGTCCAATCAAGTATTATTGAGTTTATCAAAACTCAATAATTGTAATTATAATTAATCAATGAATGAAGCAATAATTTTGTTTCATTATTCTTAATTTTTTCATCTTCTTCCAAAAAAAACTGTAACGCAAAAAAAGTTGACATTATATTAGATAATTAATTATTATATGTTCATTATTACAGAGACTAAGAACTTTTTTGATTGCAACTAAATCTAAAAGAAAAAAAGTTAATCTTTAAAAATATGTGCCTTAATACAGAATTCTACATACAAAATAATCTAAACTTTAACAAATTATAATAAATAAAACTATCATATTAATAAAAAATATACAATTTTTTAATAAAATAATATTAACTTAATAACACTATCATAATACAGAAAAATGTTTATTTTAACACAGAATTCCACACACACCAAATAACACTAACTTAATACAACATTCCAGATATGCAAAATAACACTAACTTAATACAACATTTCAGATACACAAAATAACATTAACTTAATACAGAATTCTACTAACTCAAATTAATCTAGCACTACTCTAGAAAATTTTAGAAAATTAAAAAAAAATTTACTTTAGATACTATTTCTTTATTTCCGTGTGCACAAGCTAAATGAAGTGGTGTATCTCCTCCATCATTACGTGCACTAACACGTGAACCACGAGCCATTAACATTTCAAAAACAACCATTTGACCTTCACGACATGCCCAATGTAATGGAGTGAAGCCATGATCATCTCTATAAAATTGCATTTTAAATAGATATAAAAATGTTTTAATAAGCATATATATACAACATGTCAGCACAAAATTTTTAACACAAAGGTTTCAATATAACAATATAGAAATGAGGTCAGATAAAAATTAGTTAGGATTTTAAATGCATTGGCTATATGTATGTATTATATATATATATATATATATATATATATATATATATATATATATATATATATATATATATATATATATATATCCTTATCTCGTAATCGAAAGATAATTTTTTGGTAAAAAAAAGTCTCTTTTTTTAACAACAATTATGCAGCTTTAATAAATAAGCTACATTTTTATGTTGTCTAAAAGCCATAGCAATTAAAATAATGCTGGAAGTACATTAAGTTTTATTGTTTTTTAAAAAACCGCAATAATAATGAGAAGGAAGTTTTTCAATTAATAGTGTTTTTTTTTTTCTTTCTTCAAAACATATTTTTAAAACATGCACGGATTGTTGCTACAGCGTTCTCTTTAAAACTACAGTTTATGGAAGAAACATTTCAACTACCATGCAAGAGTATATATATATATATATATATATATATATATATATATATATATATATATATACATATATATAACTATCAACTTATACAGATATATTACTTGCCTAAATTCAAAACTTTAGTCAATATTATAGTGATAAATATTATACTCTTTTTTAAAATTAGTATATATTGTTTTATTAATAGAAAAAAATTAATATAATTACCCTTGATTCAAATCATTTTCAATGTTATCAAGAAACTGGCGTACAAACTTTACATTTCCTTCTCGTGAAGCTGAGAAAATATCCTCCATTTAAATAAATTTCCTATTTATGCCAGCTAAAAGTTTTAGATTTTTTTTATTTTACAAATAAATCATAATAAATCATAATGTACTGGTATTAACATAAATGTTAATAACAGTAAATAGCATCATAATACAAAACTGTAAAACAGCCAGACAATATGAATTTTAAACACCAGTGGTTTATGAAGTGCCATAATAACAAAAATTATCCTTAATATATACAACATTACAAGTACATCAATAGTAGATAAAGTATTTAGAAGTTTCAGACAAATTTCAAAAACCTATAACTGCAATGACTTCCTCAGTAAACTGCCTTTTAGCAATTACAATTGTAGCCTAGTCTTACTTTATATAATTATATATATATATATATATATATATATATATATATATATATATATATATATATATATATATATATATATATATATATATACATATATATATATATATATATACATATATATATATATATATATATATATATATATATATATATATATATATATATATATATATATATATATATATATATATAAACTTAAAAAATAATCATGTCTGATAAATACTAATAAAAACATATAAATTTGATGAAACAAAAGTGATAAAAAAGTTGCATGGTTCTTTGTCCTAATAAGTTAAAACAAGTTCTATCTTCATCAACGATACATTAATGCAGACAGAACTTGTTGACATAGAAGTTTAGGAAGTATAATGTGCACTTCAGTAAACTTTTTCTGTCACAACCAATCTCACATCACAAAAAATTCCACCACCCAATGCTATCAAACAAAATATAACAAATTTTGAATAGGAATGTCAGGGTGTAACAAATTAATTCTAATTTAAAATTAGAGGAAGACATTGATGTAAAACAGATTTATGAATCTAAATTACTGTAATCTAAGGGTCTAGCTAAGTGGGAGATAAATGCAGACTTCATAACTTTTTATGCAAATAAAATTTCTTCACAAAATTTAGACTTTTCCTAAAGAGTTTTTTTTTTTTCACATAACTGCTTTAAAAAAGATGACAGATAGAAAAGTTAATTATCTTCTTGGACTGGTAACATGTTTTGCTATGTGTAAACAATTTAAATATGTTGACAGTTCCAATGAATTTTAAAATAAGTTTACCACATAAGAAATCAAAAAACTATACTTCTGTTATCATAAGGTCATAAGCAAATATAATTTATAGTAGTTGCTTGTCACTGTCATAAAACACTGCACAAATTTTTAAAATATTTTCTTATATTTTTAAATAAAACTTAGACTTACTTGAGTTTATTTAACATAAGCCTTTTTTATTTTATTAATCTAAGTCAAACTTTTAAAGATAAATCAATAAAGTTGAATCATTCTATGAGACAATTGAGCTGAACTTATTTCAACATAACTTTTTCAATTTATTTCTTGAGTTTAAATTTTGTTTTAAACTCAATAAATTCTTGAATTTATTTGGATTGATAAAAATTGAAACTTTTGATTTTTTCATTGGTAGTTAAACTTGATTTTCACCTAACTCTGTATTACCATTGCTCTACCATATCCTTATTATTTAAAATACCTTTTCCTGTTACCTATGACTATTTAAAAGTTTAATTTCCAATGATCTGAAATGCAACTTTTTATTTTAAAACACTAACTACTTTCGTTGTAACAAAAAAAAATAACTTAAAAAATTAATAATTAAAACAAAAATCACATAATAATTATAATAATCTAATCTCATAAGTTATTCCTACTTTTCACAAGTATTAACTCATACTTAAAGAAAGTAGACTATTAGAGAATTTGCATATATAAATATATTATTGACATGATATAAAGTTTAAAAAAGCTTAAATTAAATAAAATCTTGACTTGTAATATTTTATTGGAAAACAAGACTTGTTTTTTAACTAAAACCCCCGCTCAGCATTTCATCAACAAATATGGTTGATAATGGGCGGAATGAAAAAACAAATTTGACGCGCAAAATAATAGATCAAAATAAAATATCTAATACTGACTATATTTACGTTTTATATATTTACGTTAATACTAACGTTAACAAATACAAAAAAAATTAATTTTTTACAATGTGATTACTTTTATCAAGTTAATTGAATTAATTTTTTTTAAAGAAAACAATTACTGATAAAAAAAAGAAGCTATTTTATTTTCATCAGATTTCGGAGATGCATGAAAATATCAAAATTTTTGTAAATTATTCCGATTTTTCGAATATTCGTATTGGTAAATAGTCGTGTTTTAAATTATGCATTGTACATAGATATTTTTTGCTTAATGAAAACAATTCTGGTTAGGGGGCAATTTACACGACTGCAACAGTAAAACACGTTTTCAAATTTTTAGGCTACCTAATTCATTCAGATTTTCTTGAGGAAAATTTTATTTCGTGATTAATAAAAAATCTTTTTTTATTAACCACGGAATAAAATTTATTTTTAAAGTTAATTTATTTTTAAAACTAAAATTTATTTTTAAAGTTAAAGTTTATTTTTAAAGTTAAAATTTATTTTTAAAGTTAAAATTTATTTTTAAATTTAAAATTTATTTTTAAATTAATTTAAAATTTATTTTTAAAGTTAAAATTTATTTTTAAAGATAATTTGATTTCGGCAACATCTTTCCATAGGACCACCATTTTACATAGGACCACCACTGCGCTGAATTAACTATTAAACTTTAATTTTAATTTATTTATCAACAAAAAAAAAACGTATTACAACTGTAAGACATATTCAGGTTTTAATAAAATAATTTTTTTTTGCTTATTTCTAACATTACACTGCATTGCGTTATTTTTCTATCAATAGATGTTGCAACTTTTTTTTTGTGGCATTTGTATAATCCATCATTTGCAATCTAGTTTTTACATATTGCATTTTAGTTTTTTTTTTTTTTTTAAACAAAACAAAACAAAAAAACAAAACTTGTTTCTCACATTACACTAAATTTGATTAGCAAAAAGGCGGGGCCAGAGATCTACAATATTGATTGAGTTTTGAGACTTCCGATCGTTTTTTACCAAAATAAAACTAGTGATATTGGTTTATCAAAATAAATATTTTTTCGCGTGTATTCTATTTTCTTATATGAAAATGAAGTTTGTTGTAGCCTAATTCTTCCAATACCATACTAGCAAATTGGTTCAAAGAATATGTACCCGTCAACCCGCGTACATATTCTTTGAACTATGTTCATTTGCTCTTCTGAAAGTTTTGATTTTGGAACAGAACCTTGACAATTGGTTAAAATTCTAATAGTTTTGTTAAATTAAAGAATGATTTCGTCGTCCCTTTGATGCCAAGAATTTGAAATATATCTGTTGGTATCTTTTAATTTTCATCATATTTTCTCTATCAAAATTAGATAAGTTTAATTTTTTTCTCAGCATTTAAACTTTGTGGATTTTAAATCTGATATAAAATCGAAAATACTTCTTGTATTTTTAGTTTTGAGAATAATCATTTAAATGTATGAAGGTAATTTCTGCTATCTAAAATGTAGATCACATACAAAATACAACATCAAATAATGCTTTTATCAAATAGAAAAATGTATTACTGTGTAGCTACAAAGAGATAAATTGATTTTAATTATTATAACAATTTCATTTAATAATATAAATAATAAACGCTAATTTAAAAACTGTATAAAGTTATAGAGAGTCAAAAACATATGATTATATATTGTAATGTCTTGATTATATATTGTAATGACTTGATTATATATTGTAATGACTTGATTATATATTGTAATGACTTGATTATATATTGTAATGACTTGATTGAACGTGTTATATCCGTTTTTATAACAAGGACGAATCCAACTCATTTTATACGCTTTTGTTTTCAGTATCATAATTTTTTACAAAAAAGATATTTTTTCAACATAAATATACTCTTGTCAATCTTCTTATAATCTCGTTGAAATATACTCAACAACGATAGCATGTAATATCTCACCATTATGGTGAGATAAACATTTTATGGTAAGATCGACATCTCACCATTATTGTATGATAGATTTTTTTCTCATACACAACAAACCTTTTCAGTTTCAGATTTTTCGGTTTAGGTTTTTAAACTTTAGTTAAACTAAGCAGGATTTTCTACTTTTCTACACACTCCTAAAGATAGATATTCAAGTTGTGTTCATATGTATGTTATTCAGGTGGTTGAACTATGTTGACATTATTATATTCAACATTAGTATTTTTTACAATGACCCTATACTATTCTACAATAACCTTATATTCCTACAACGAATCTCTATAACTTTATAAAGTTTTTAAATTAGCATTTATTATTTATATTATTAAATGAAGATCATAACTTTTCAAGGTCATAATGGTTTCACTTCTTATATGCTTTACAGGTGGTTTGTAATTGTTTCATAGTTTACGAAGTTTATTGTATTTTTCAGATAACGAAGTATTTTCAAATCTGCATATATTTTTTCGGGGCGGCCAATTTTTTTGCAGTTAATTAAGGATATAATGAATTTTAACTTTTCGCAAAATTGAGTAGATGTTATAAACGATTTTTTTTTCCGGCTCTATCAGAATTTGCTTTTAATGTTTTTGTTACAATCTTTTTTTAAAATTAAATGGCTGATTTTCCAAATTTATAAAAGTTATTAAAATTATTTTTATTTTCACTGAAAAATAGATTTAATTAGCTTACAACCAATCTATACGAACCTACTCTTAGTTTGATTATATCACCTTATCACAACGCATCAAAGTACCATCAACAAGGCAAAACTGATTTTTTTTAATCTTTACGTGAATTTTTGAATACCAATATCTTTTGAACTGCAAATAACACGAGGCTAATGTCTTAAGATTTTTTTTCTATGGTGTAAGCTTTTAATCTGCCTTTTTTTATCAAAATTGAAGCTAATTTTTTTTTTGGCCACCCTGCATCTCACTCTGGAGCGTTTCTTCCTGTTGCAAGCTTTTAATTTGTACTCTCAAAAACAACAGATTTTTCTTTTAGCTTGGAAGAAATAACTTGGTAAGCAACACCT